TTACGCAAGGTGCTATTGTTCTAAAACAATAGCACCTTGCATTTTAACTAGTGCAAGACTAGAACAGGTTCATGGTTGGGATAGGTAAACAAATATACATAAATAAATGTATTTGAGGTATCTAGACCCCCTACATTTTGCCGGCCGGATAGTACGTAATTAATTATAACATATAAAATTGATTCCAATTACTACTTAAAATCGTTTCTTCTCCAATAGAAATTTTACCTAAGAGCTTACTAAAATAGAAAGCCCGCATCTATAACTCCCTTAATTTATATTCCTGTACAGAAACCAAAACAATTGTAACTGCTTCAATCAAATTGAAGTAGTTAATATTTCACATTATAAAAACTGAGAATTACTTAATTTTCACGACTAATTAAGGGATATTAGCCATGAAAAAGTAATAACTAAGGTTAAATGAGGGATTATGGGTTTAATATCTTAATTTAATGATGTATTAAAATAAGTTATGTCAATAATCATGTTTTTTTACGGAATTTCATAATATATATGCTACAGCAGATTTAATAATGAAATAAATTAAAAGAATTCTTGTGCTCATACATATGGTTGCACTGATATCTCTTTTGCCAATCAAAACACCGTTTTGTTATCGGTCCAAGTGAACTATCTGTTTTCATATAGTCTGTAATTATATCATGAATTATTTTTATATAATGTAAGGAAATATATTGTTCGAAGTATATAGTCTTGTTGTGTAACATCGGTGGTACGAACGCGTGTCTGATAGTGGAAACCGTAAAAGGAATAATACAAAATTAAAAAAAACATATACGAGAAAAATAATATAACGCTTAATCGTGTATAAATATATAAAAGACAAAAATATATATATATATATATAAACGACGGTAGCGGCGGTAAGAATATATAAATAAATAAATTTAATATATATATATGTATATACGTTAGACGTATGGCACACAGGCGATATTGGTCAATCAAAAAAAAATACTCATAGTAGGACAACAGCTGATAAAGGTGTCATGAGTGGCGGGGCCGTGTCACAATAAAAAATTTGTTTATATATATATATAATAAAATTGTACAGAAAAATATTTATGTTCGCAAGTGGTGGGGTAAATGCGTTACGACAGTCTAGTCTCGAGGCCATAGACGACTGGATACACGAGAATAATAACATGTGGCGCGTAGAGAGTTACAAACAAACAACATACATGTAAAACTAATATAAGCGTGTTAATAATATAAAAACTATTGTATTTTATATTTATATTTAATATTGTAAAATGTATAGACATAATTATATATATATATATATATATATATATACAGAATGATTTTTTTATCATAACCCACTCAATTACTTGCAGAATAATAATAATTTAAACATTTTTTTTTATTATTATCTTTAGTTACACATTATTCTTGAATTTTTAACTATGTAATACTTTTTAAGTTCANTATTTGTAATCCCTTGTGTATTATACCTGTATATTAATTCAAAAATTTGAAACTTTAAATGATTATATCTAATAAAAGAATTAAGTTATATTAAAAATTCAAATGCCATTTACTATTAAATTAAAAACTCAAACATTTTATTAAATTAAAAATATGTGTTACCATTTAAAAAAACAAAGTTGACCCCTTTACAAGGCATAAGGGATGAACTTAAAAAGTATTACATAGTTAAAAATTCAAGAATAATATGTAACTAAAGATAATAATAAAAAAAAATGTTTAAATTATTATTATTCTACAAGAAATTGAGTGGGTTATGATAAAAAAATCACTCTGTATATAAAAATACATATGTGCATAAGCGAATTCGAGGATGGGCAAAAAATTAATACATATTATGTATAATAAAACAAGGAAAAAAATGTTTTTCTGGAAAATTACCTAACGTGCTCTGATTTTCAATTTTTTTTTTCAACGAAAGTATTCGGTAACGTACTCCGAAAAACTTATTGACGAAAAATTTTGCCGATCAGTATTCATAATTAATATATGTTGTTGTTGTCATATATGAATTAATTGTTATAGTTTATTACCTATGTTTTATTTATATTATATTTGATATTTTTATATATTACGTTTAGTTAATTCAACATAACTTTATTAAGATATGAACTGTCGATTTCTTTTAAATTTGTTGATATATTTATTATGTTAATTGTTATAAATATGTATCCTTTGTTTGAACTTTATCTTTATAATCAGCTTACTGTTTATAATTTTTTCTTTCCTTTCAACTATTTTTTTTCATGTCCACAAAGAGTTTATATTTAGATACTATTTTTCATTTGCACATAGAACTATACTTTGTATATATTATCAAGGAATATTATATTTTAAATATAAATTTCAGGATGGTTTTAATTATATAAGTTTGTACATTCATCATAAGAACTGTACTGTATTAATAATTTTATTTATCTCATATATGATGTATGAGTCTATGAGTTAATCGTAAAAATTGGTAACCATTTATAACTATCATGTTGTCCAACTTCAAATCACAGTAACTAATATTTTTATCAAAATTAAATTTTTTTATTGTCTAAGTTATAATAACTTAAATAAAACACTGATCTTGAAATAATATTTTTTTTAAAAAACTCTTATTGTACACCTACCAGAATCAGTGGCCTGAACTTTTAATGACAGCCCGAAGACATTACGCGCCAAAGGCGCGTAAGGCTTGTAAGGTTCCGGGTCTGGGGCAGAGCTCTAGCTAGGCAAAGCCTAGATTTTTATTATAAATACGTATTTAATAAGTTATGAATGATACAATTAAAAAAAATTTAATATGCCTACTTTCGGTACTAAGAGAGCCTTCGGATCTATTTTATAGAAGGAGGCCAATCTAAAATATATTTATCAACTATTTTGGAAATAACTGGCGCTAATAATGTTTTGAAGTTAGGGGTGTTCTATTTCCAAAGGCCTAACTTATTTTCTACCTATTAATTCATGTTACCTACCTCTGTGATATTGGAAATAAATTCTATTAATATTCATAAATTACTACTAATATAATTTATACTATATTATTAATGTATTATAATAAAATGTAATAAATCTAATAGCAGTAGACAAAAAAAATTATAAATTGTTATTTAGGTAATTCCAAAGAACTATGAAAAATAATATCAAGTTTATGCTTTTTAATGTTCGATAATATTCTAAAAAACCTAACTTTTTTGTTATTCAAAAGCCACCTCTAAATTGGAAAATGGTCAATAATGTAAGAATTTATTATGAGGAATTGTAAGAAATTTATTTCTCCCGATAAACAACAGTGGGTAATCAAAAAAAAAATAAATAAAAGAATAAAATTATTAAATATTATAAAATTATTAATGTTTTACTTTTATGGTATGTTATTAATTATATTTGTATATAAATGGTTATACACATTTATTAAGTATATTACATCATATTTTTTCGTTATGTCGTAACTCAAAAATAAAAATATAAAATAGAGTTCTCTAAAATTTAAAAGGTGTCAGAAATGATTATTATTGTCGGTGTAAAAATGTGTAAGTGAGAGTTACTTTTGTTTCGGGGTGTAATTCGAGGGTCATAAAATAACGATGTAAAAAATCTTACCTGGTTAATTCTCTGGTTCTTATAATTATCCTTATTGATGATATCGATGAAGATAATAAATAAAATACACAAATTCAGATTTTTAGTTCACAAATTAACACATAAAATTTCGACAATGACGATTGCTACGTTCGCACAACTTAATGCGGAGCACGATAGAAAAGAGCGTAATGCGGATTACGAAAGAATAGCCCAAATACAGAGCACGAAATGAATAGCGCAATACGGAGCATGAAATGAACAGCTAGGAGCAAGGGTTTGCTCTGGCTTTTTATAATATTTTTTTACCCCCAAAAATCGTCACTGTCGAATTTTTAGTATAATTGTTTATTGATAAGTAAGCATTAAAAACAGAGATCAATACAGATGAATAGAACATAAATTATTTTGACTTTTACATATATAACATTAACATGTTTTTTTTTACAAGCAAGACGAAAATTGATACAATGCATTTAACTATTAATAGTAGAATAACAAAGATGACAAACATAATATATAGATTTTATTTCGGTGAGGAAGGATTTTTAAAGTAATTATTAATTGATTTATGATCGAACCGCATACACTACAATGTAGTTAAACAGTGTGAGTCTTTTGACTATTTCTCTTAAATGTCTATCTAAGTTTTTGTTCGAAAAAAGGATCATGTCCTTGTAAGAATATAATGTATAATGAAACAAGTTAAAATGTACCACTTCTATCCATAGAAATGGTGATTATTTGAAATGAAAAAATATATACTAATAAAAACTAAAAAGATAATATTGTTGAGTACATGAACAGGGTATTTTAGTGTTGTCTCGTATAAAAATAATAGTGACGATTATATTACGACAGTTAAATAATGATTTTTTCATAAAAATGCATTAATTAAAATTAAATTAAATCATATCATCATAGTCAACAATTTTCCCAGAGTTATGACGCCTAGCTTTATTATTTAAAAAAAATTTTGAGTTAGACATCATTTAGTAATTTTCTGGAATTGTTAAATTTTTCAATATTTTATTATACAATAAGATTAAAATAAAATTTTACCGTAAAATTCTTAAAATAGGTTTATAAATAAATTTAACAAGATTTAGTGCCGGTTGAATACAATTAAAATATGTTTTTGAAATACATATTAATAATCAAAGATAAATAGAAGCTTTGAGTCAAATAAATTAAATAGCATATTTTTCCCAAAATAAAATAGATTCATGTATTTTCAATCAACCAGTTATTTTTTATTTTATTCAACTCTGTTTTATTCTACAGTATAAAAACTAAAATTTTCGATAGACTATTGAAATCCATCACCAAAAAATTCATAAAATGGTATGTACTATTTCTTCATAACTTCATGATATAAATTTGATGTAAAAATTAAATAATATTTTTTTTTTCAGAAATCACTTACTATATGTGTGATTATATTAGTATTAGACGTTGATTTCTCATTTGCGTCTGGTAATAAAACTATATAAACTTATTTTTTTATAGCAATAGAATTTAGAAGTACAATCACATATTTATAAGAATTGATATAATAAAATAAATTACATCTATAGCAAAAATCACTATTGGAAGTTCTTTAATGATCTACATCTCACACAAAACAATTATCATGTAATATTTACTTTAACCACAAAGGAAAGTGAGAATGAGGATTGTATATTAAGATGAGGTTGTGTCTATGTAGATATTCACGTACGTATAATATTACAGCAATTTTTGTTTTCTCAGCTGACACTCCGGAATAACTATAAGTGCTGATAGGCCATTGTTATAAGATGGGACTGTGAGTAACGCCTAAGTATAAGGTGCACGCGAAGTGCAAGACACAAACACTCTTAAATATAGAGAATGAAGGTCGGTTATTGTATAGGAACGAACAAAGACTTGACTTGATAGAGAAAATGGATAGCGATAACCGAGTACTAAGACTGACAAATGACACAAAGCATAAGGCTACTGTAGTCAAATATTAACAGTGATCTTTAGGTTTCAATAGTTTTAGATTGATTGCTAATTTCACAATAAATATTTTTCATTGTCAATTCATCAGTCGCTAAAAGCGATTACGAATTCTGTGTTTTATTTTATAATATATTTTGCATATAGTCTTTAATTAGTTGATTTTAGTAAAAATTATTAGATCATAACTTAATAATGCATGATAACATTTTATAGGGTGTATTGTTTGTACCGGAAATATAGGATTAAAGAAAAGTACGTGTGGTCATTATTTTTGTTCACTCTGTTTAAGGACATTCAATAATTGTTCGTGTGGAAAAGACATCATAATTGGTAATATCATTAATAATATTAAATAAAAGATTTAAATACACCAATAACATTTATTCTTTATATTGCAATAAAACAATATTTTCTTCTACTTTTTATAAACCTCTTACAGTTGTCTGATTTTTATAACTTTATACGCTTTGTGATCTTTTTTCGTATCGTATTAATAAATTTGATTAAAATTGCTACAACAGAAACATGTTGAATAGCCTATATAAACTCAAAAAAAATGTCATGATCAAGTAAAATATATTACTTTTCGGCTACGCATCCAGGCTAATAAATTATACTTACACTTTTTCTCTTAGGTATTACTTTGAATAACTAATAACTTCTGAAACATTAGTTCAAGTTATTTACTATGATATATTTTCCTAATCCATATGTCTTACACATATCTTTGAAATATAAAGAACATTTTAAATATATTTGTAAGCATTAGACGTAACACTAGCAAATTAAAAAAGATTTAATTTTAATAAATCTTCTAATTCCAAGCAATTTTTATCTTGTGTTTTCTATTTCATGTTTTTTTTATGCATAAATGAATTTTAGAAAAAAATATCTTTTTTATGTCTATTAACAACCTATTAAAAATCGAAAACTTTATTTAAATTTTGAATTTATTAAATTTAATTCTTTTCAGATTATAGCAATCGTACAATAGGTAAAATTTTTTTATAATTTAAATAAATTACATTAATTAGTTACACGATAAGATTTTTTTATCAAACTGGGTATATATGCTCTTATTGTCAAGTCTTTAATTAAATTTTAAATGTATTTTGAAGAAATTTGAATATATATAAAACTGATTAAATATGAACTTGATTTTATTAAGAATCTATTTAGAATTAATTTAGCAATTAACTGTCCATTGATTTTATTATGATCTTTAGTTAATTCATTCTAATTAAAAAAGATTAGACGGTTGCTTAATTATAAAATTTAATATTTTATAACTTTTAATATTTGTGTTAAAAAAAAATGTTTAAACTAAGTATCATTTGTTCAGTGTAATTTTAATTAAGATTTATATTTTGTTTTGATTATAGAAGAAGATTTAATAAGTAAGTATAATCTAAATAATTATTTCTTATAAAAATATATAAAAGTAATCGGTATTGTCTTATTTATGTAACTAAAACACTAAGTTAAAAATTATTTTTCAAAAATTAAAAACGTTATAATATAATAAAAAGTTCAATTATAAAAAAAATATTATTATACCATAATTTATATAGGTATTATCTTAATTAAATTTATAATTTATAGAATGTTCTGTTTGTACAAATAATAACGGATTACAGCAAGTTACGTGTCCTCACCCATATTGTAACACCTGTACGCGTATTATTTCGCATTGTAATATATGCAATAAATCTTTCAGAGTTGGTAATATTATTGATAATATTAAATGTAAGATCTAAGCTTACCTATAATAGTTCAGATAAAATAAACTTTTCAGGTTTTTTTTTCAAAAAACTTACTTTCTATAAAATTTCTATAGAAATTACTTTTTTCTAAAAGTAAAATGCTTACCATTAAAGATAAAAAAATAAGTATTTAAGCGATACATAATAACAAATATTCAGTGTAATTTTAATTCAGGTTTATACTTTGTTTTGATACAGTAAAATATTTATGTAAGTGTAAATTAAATTATTATCTCTTATAAAAATGTATAAAAGTGATCAGTATTGTCTTATTTATGTAACTAAAACACTAAGTTAAAAATCATTTTTCAAAAATTAAAAACGTTATAATGTAATAAAAAGTTCAATTATAAAAAAAATGTTATTATACCATAATTTATATAAATTCACTATTTAAAGGTTGTTCAAAATGTCGAATGTACGTTAATCTACAAATTAGATCCAATAAAATATACTGTACAAGCTGTATACAAAATGGTAATACAAATTATGTAAGGTGTTCAGTAAGTAAAGAAATGAGTTACTATTTTTCTTGTTGTTCGTAACAATTAATTTGTTTCCTAACTTATTGATCACTCTGCATATTTTAAAATTAAATAAGATAAATAAAACATAATATTTATAAACTTGAATTCATACTAACATATTAAATATATATTACATTTTTATATATATCTATATTATAAGGGTATTCGATATTGTTTTAGACATCAGTATCGTTTCAAATTTTTATATATTTAATTGTAAATTCAAAATATATAAATACTGTGATAAAACGATTATTGAACATTTTTGTTTGTTAGTTAAATAATCATGTTAAATAATAAAAATGACTAAATATTGGAATGATCCGTCATGTCGGAAAATTTCCATATAAAATTTAAATTAAACATAAAATTCTATTTTTTATTCACCCAATTAAATTAATATCAGAAATATCGTGATATGGAACGCGGTGTTGGTTAGTCAATTACTGAAAGTAGGACGATGGTTGATAAAGGTGACATGAGTCGCGGAGCACGGTGTATCACTAAGCGACGCGAGGTTGGGTCACTGTTTAAATATTGGAATGAACCATTATGTTGGAAAATAATCTTATAAAATAAAAATTAAATATAGAAAATATCACCATAATCACTAAATTTTGAATGGATTTATAAAAATTTTACCAAAAAATACGAAATAATAACAATATTCTATAGTCGATCACAATTGCTTTATATTATAATAATATGCAAACATATTTATTCAATAACCAATCATTTTCTATGATTCTTATAATACAACGTAAAATGGATAATCAGAGTTCAAACAAAAGTATTTATAAAGTTTGTTTTGGTCATTAAAATTAAATTATAAATAGATATTCGTGCAAATTTTTCTTAAATAATGTTTACTAATATGAAATAAAGCTGTGGGGGAACTTTCAACTAACAAAAAATAATTCTGTGGTACAATATAACCTGTAGTAAATTTTCATTCTGATGGGAATCTTGTGAGATTTCAAAAAAATTTTAAATTTCTTAAATCCCGTTTCTTGTTGATAAAATACAGATCAAAAATAAGTAAAAAACATTTATAGTAAAATATATTACATCATATATATACATTATGATTTATGAAGAATACAACACTCAATTTTTTATTTAATATTTAGAAGTGCATTATCTTTACCACAACTAATACACTTGTAAAAATAATTAAAAATATAATAACAAGTTCTCATTTAACTATTAAACAAAGCTACCATTCTAATAAATTTTACAATAGAGTTGATATTTACTGTGCTTATTAAATATAAATAAAATTTCAATCTAAACATATTTATTTTTATTTTTTATTTTATTTTACGTTAATTTTTACAGTTATGTAATTTTGGATATTCTTTATAATGTCTTAAATTGAGGGAGCTTTTTTTAATTTTCGATATTTAAACTTCAATGAGAATAAAATCGGTTTCTTTGATGCGTAAAACAAAATAATCCGTCCAGTGAGAGCCGAAGATTTTCATGGACAGGCATTAAAATAAAAACAAAACACATTAAAACTAATACTTTCTCAGCTTTGTAAAAAATATGTGATTACATATAGTATAGATTGTAAATAAATAAATAATATGCATATTTAATAAATAAAAAAAAGCTAAAATTAATTTTAAAACGTATAATAAATGTATATAATTGTATTATAATAAATGTATAATAATTGTATATGTAAACCTAGGTAAAATCCCACAAGAGATTGAAGAATCGTCATCCAGACAAAGTATGTTACCACTTTATGTAAAATATATATTAAACAAAATATGATTTTTAAGAATACTACTCGCAATTCTGTCGTTAAATAATGATTTTTCCATGAAAATAGTGTTGTAAACCAAAAAATAAGATAATGAGAAAGATTATTGAAAATAAAGAACTATCCTTTTTCTCGGTATGTGCTGTTCGAGGGTCTATGTTTTTTAGCATTAATTTGCAAGCTGAGTTTGAATTTTCTTACCTGATTTTTAACTATCCTTCTAATGTGGAGAATAGTGATAAAAAAGAACGCAATGCCAAACAGTTGTTGATGAAAAAATAAAATAATTAATGTAACTTCACATATATTTATATAAAACAATTGTAATAATCATGCAAAGTTTACGGAGAGATATTATTCTTAATTAATAAACACAACCTTAAATATTTATAAATACACTTATAATTATTCTGTTGTTTTAAATTAATTTAATTCACGAGAACCAGACGATGAAAGCGACGTGTTCATATGTTGGTTTTATCGAAACAGCACAAGTGCGTCCATCTTTGGGTCTTTCCTGGTGTTCTTCTTATAACCCTTCCAGAGACGCACACATTCATCGTCCGGCTATCATTTGCTTCACATTTTTTAGGAATTTCATGATTTTGTATATACATTAAAAAAGGTTCTTTGACTGAAAATAATAAATGGAAACATTTGATTTTTGAAGGGTGCACGTGCGTTGAAAAAGAAGAGCAGATGGCGTGATTGTGTCAATTATGTGTTGGATGCGATTAAGAACAGTAAATATTGATTGTGTATAGTATTTGTTGTGAGAAGTATTGTGTAATAAAATAGAATATTTGTTTGTGTTAAGAGATGAAAGAGAAGAGAAAGAAATAGTGATTTTAAGTATAGGGTAACAACATCCACCCTGATTTTATAAAATGTTGTGTGCTCACAAATTGAGCACAAGAGTGGATTAAAAAGGCAAGACAAAAAAGTTAATTTTATAAAGTGAAAATTGAAATAAAGAACATGTCTGAAAAAAAAAAATTATAAAAGTGTTTCTGATTGCAATTACATGTAAGAGTTCGTTGTATGTAATCGTTATGAGTGAAAGTAAAAAAAAAAAAATGATGTATACTATGCTTAAATTTAAAAAAAAAAAGTAAAAAATTAAATCATGAATAAAATGATAATGATAATGATAATATGTCAATATGGTATAATATAATAGAAATTATGATGATAATAATAATATGAGTATGGTATAGTATAATAAATGTATAAATAATTGTATGTGAGTCCTAGGAATTGTCCCACAAGAGATTGAAGCTTCGTCATCCAGACAAAGTATGTTACCACTTTATGAAAAATATATACTAAACAAAATATGATTTATTAAATATACTACTCGCAATTCTGTTGTTATAAAATAATGATTTTTCATAGAAATTGTATTTATTTTTATGAACCATGGAAATATTACACAATGAGTAATGGTTCTCAAAAAATATAAACTAATATAAGTTGAAATTTATCAAATATTGAAATTTGATCTTTTTGATGCATAATCAAAAATTATCGGTTCATTGAAAGCTGAAGATTTTCTTGGACAGGCATTAAAAAAAAACACAAAAATACTAATACTTTCTCAGCTTTGTAAAAAGCTATAATTACATATAGTATAGATTGTAAATAAATAAATAGTATGTATATTTAATAAATAAAAAAAAGCTAAAATTAATTTTAAAACGTATAATAAATGTATAAATAATTATATGTGAGTCCTAGGAATTGTCCCACAAGAGATTGAAGCTTCGTCATCCAGACAAAGTATGTTACCACTTTATGAAAAATATATATTTTAATTATATTTCATTGTAATCATATTATTATAGGATATTCCTTGTTAAGAGAATTGATAATGAATTCACTTATTGGTCATTATTCACGTTTAAATTTATGATATACAAACTTATTTAATTAAAAACTCAACATGTTTTAACAATTTTCTATAATTTTTTTTAATTATCTTAATTATATTAATATTTGTTTTTTTATGTCCATTACAAATTCTTATTCAATTTTAATAAAGTATATAAAGTAATACGTTTATACTTGTGTACTTTACACAATATGGACTAACATATGATACCATTTCAAGTTTTCACAAACTTTAATATGCTACAAAATATTTACTACTGAATATTAATAAGATATTTTTTTACCAAAATTTTATTTGTATTTTTACTGATTTTGTAGTACTAAATTTTACATGTTACACTTTTTTCTCAAACATCAAATTTTTATGGTGTATTAAGCAAATATATAACTAAAAAATTAAAAAAAAAAGATTTTTGAAATTAGGTCCCCAAACAGAAATAATGCACCTAGAATACATGTATTTTTAAAAAATTGATAAATTTGTATACCTCTAAATCCAAAAAAAATTTTTTTAAATATTTGAAATTTAGTTGAAAGATAAATTATACACTAATACCACATTTGATAATCACTATAAAATAATAACTTCTTAATGGTTTTAAGTGTGCTCAAAAACGCCAATTTTCTCAAAAAGAAGCGCCACTTTTAAAAATTCATTTGGGTTTAGAATTTAACTCACTGTAAATATTCTGACATAATTTTTTAACATTGAGAGTTTATTGTAAGAAAAAGAATATTTCAAAAAGTAAATTTTAAGGGTATTTTTCGAAAGTTAAAGTGAGACCTATTATTATTTTTAGGGTTTAAAAACATAAAGGTATTAAAATAATTAATAATATAAGATAAAACATGCATTTCGACTTATTAAATGAATTGTAAAACTATTGGTTAAGTGTAAAAAGTTACTACCCAGTTATTTCGACTCTACACAATAATCATAATAAATTAGCTTATTGACTTTATACAGTTGATTGACCCCAACCTTTTTTTTTTTTTTGGTTATCTCGAATATCGTACTGCCTTTTAATACTGTCAATAGAATGTATATTATTTGGTGCATTCTCAATTTCAATAGTAAAAAATAACAACATTTTCCATTCGACATTCGGCCATTTTACCTGAAATTTACCAATTGAAATAATTATTTGTTATAATAATAAACCAAATATTTATTATGGTTCATAAAAAAAAATAAAATTTCAATAAGTACATTATTATGACCAAAACCTTTTTAATGAAAAAGTGGCGGATTATATTCCTTCGAGTTATAGTGCTTTTATATTGAATTAAATTAAAAAATATTTTTATGATAATTTGAATTTTTATTTTCATTGTAGATTATGTCCCCATAGAATTTATAAATTACAGTCAAGATAATAAAATTGAAAATCAAAGTATTAATAATAATAATCAAGACAATGAAAGTGACAGTACAAATAAAATAAATTACACAATTGATAGTAACGGAAAACCATTGTAAGCCAAATATCCAAAACTATTTCCGTCTTCAGGTTTAAATACTAAAATTTTTTTACAGTTACCAGTTTTTGTAAATATACAATGTTTAGTCGTGGAAATATTTGAAAGCGAAATATATCAGTACTATATCAGAAAACCTTAACATCTAACTAAATGTTTGATATAATTCATGTGATAAAATACATAATTTCATATAATAAATATAAGTTGCTAAATGTAATTAGAATTTTCAATGATTACCAGTGTTGGGTAAAGGTTATTAAAATAAAATCTAGCTAAGATAGAAATAAGTCGCAGCCCGTCCCTGTCTGTAAGTTTGTTTATTGTCATCGGTTTGGAATGTGTAAAATGATTCATAGTAATTTTTTTTGGTTTTCAACAATTGCAGTTATAAGGAAAAAAATAAAGTAGTGTAAAATGTTCTTGTTTATTTATAAATAGATAAAAATAAGGTTGAGTACGTTATTTACGCTTTTCTATTTACGTTGTCCGCCAACACAATATTCTTAACTTAAAATAAATTAATTTTAAATAAAGATACAACTCGGGACAAGCTACCCAGTACACATTGACTTACAAAGAAATTCAGAATTAGATAGTTTTGGAAGGGGCGTGGTCAAGGTCAGACAGAGAGAGTGGTCTAATGATAGACGGGTAAAGGAGGTGTGATCTTATGATTGATGAGGTAAGGGGAAGGCGTGGTATTATGGTAGTAGGAGTAAGGTACGTGATCTGAGCGATGGTCTTAGAAGGTCATACAAAATGGCGGAGATTTAAACTGTTGGTTTGGTTTGCACACTATAATTTAATGTCAGGGGTGGGGGAGGTGGTTTTTTCAAAATTGCTGTCATCTGAAGGATAGGGTAACTAAATCTCCATGAAACTGATCTATAGTCTAGTGGAGAGGATAATATACATTACATATATTACGTTTAATATTAAACGTACGCATTACATTGAATAGTGAACGTTAAGTAGTGACCGCCGCCGTCACACTTGTCCTTGACTATTCTTAGAACGACTCAACCATCTTGTTAACAAATTCTGTGATGTTATCGTTGTAATAGCCATTACGATTAATTAATTGTCACCGTCGAGAACGTCCTATATACAATCGTTGTTACCCAATCTAATTATACCCCTACACCACCCGGGCGTAGAGTGAGTCGTAAATCCGATGTAATCTAACATAATGCAATAGTAGGTTGAAAGATGTAAACTCAATGTAAACTAACCTAAGTCGGTAGGTGATCTCCTCCTCCTTCAGCAAGTCCTAAAGAACGTGGGGTAATGAAACTTAACATAAGCTAATCTAATGGGAGGGGTGCGGTTGAAACCCGACGTAAATTAACTTGCCGCATGTCTATAGATTGTATTTAATAAATCGATAATTATGTGAAAAAATAAAAATAAATTATCAAGGGTAGGTATGCTTTAATCCTTGAACGTGCCTATAGTATGCGAAGTGTAGCCAAATGTGGTTCTAAAATGAGGCTCTAAATTGAAATTATGATAAACATTTTTATGAGAACAATTGCTATCACCAGGTAATCATATTTCCAATATCAAAGATGTCACCGTACAGTAATAATCAGTGTATGAATTTATGAGAACAATGACAACGTCTGTCGTTATGGCATTATAATTTCTAAGAATCTCATCATTGGTTACCAGACACTTAGGTAAGCATAATATTTCAAACATCGTTTGTGTAGTATTCGAACATGTTTGAACCAACCCAACCTTGTCTGATCAAGATCTTCGATCCCTATAAAAGAACGTTACACCACTTTCAGACTCATTCAATTACTATCTTTTCTAAAACGATCATACCAAAAACGATTTATCAGATTATTTCTATTATTTGTCCTAAAGAATTTGTACATGTCTATGAATTGCTGTCTTTTGATATAAAATAAAGTAAATAATACATTTAGATATATTTATTTTTTAACTGTTTTCTACTGACTTTGGTTACTAGTATAGTTTATGTTTAGAGTTGTTTAAAATCTTATTAATTTTTTATTTTAGAATGGAGCAATTAAAGAAACAGTTGAACGATCAGACTACATTATAATTGTGGCGGTCGAATGTTCTAGAATGTTCGGCCGCCGCCGCCTCTAGAAGATTCGTCGCTCTACATAAGCGTGTGGCGGTCGAATGTTCTAGAGAGTTCCGCCGCCGCCTCTAGAAGATTCCTCTGACTATTTAAGGGCAAGATCGTCGCTCCAGTCAGTCAGTTGATCAGTCAATCACTTACGCATTCTGTCTTACACGCGCTTCGTTTCTCGCTGTTATTTATTAGTTCGTTGTAATACAGTTCGTCTCTCGCTGTTATTTGTTATTTGTTAGTTCGTTGTAATATAGTATAGTTGTTATTAAATCGTAAAAGTGTTTATTACTTCTATATATTACACCTCGCTACATAATGATATTCAAAATTAAGTGATCTGGAGGAATATACGCCATACAAAGTCATATCTATGAAAAATACAAGCACATGAAATGGGGTTGTCATTGTTGGTTGTCTAATCATCAATATTAATGTGTTTATCCCGAGATTAAACTTAACTAATGAAGAAATCGAAGCTCTTAATATCAACAATGATGATAAAAGATTACATTTATTATATAAAGGCAAAAGTGGAAATGCATATTTGTTTGATTTTCATTAATTTGTTAATATTTTTCCTTGTTTTTTTTTTGCAATTATTTATATTAAACAAAACAAGTTATTACTATACACTTGTATGATTTAAAATTGAATAATATATTATATTTTTATTTTATAAAATTGTGTCATATTTATTTACACTTTATGTCCTTGTACATGTTTGCGTCTAGCAAAGTCTTTCTTTAATTTGTGATCGCAATGATTGGTCACCCTTCGTTTCTTTTATCACTAGTCAAGTTAATCTGTTAAGGTAGACAGATTAACTAAAAAAATCATCGTTCTTTTCTTTTTGGATCAGTAACCTGTCAAGTTGACGTATTTTTCTTTTTCGATGCCAATTTATATGAATAAATAAATATATACAGAGTGATCGAAATCTGGTAAGACACTAATTTTTAGAAACTATTGAGAATTTAAAATTTTTGTAAAAAGAAAAATTATTAAGTTTATAAAACTCTACAATAATATGATGTTCAATAAAAATTTTTTTTATCCCTTCAGGAATAAAAATGTTTATTTATAATTTTTTTAAAGGGATACCACTATTTTTGATTTGATAATATGATAGGAAAAAAAAATTACAAACAATTGTGTTCTTATAATTTTTTTTATCCAAACAAACGTTTACGTTTTATAATTGTTTAAAGATTTTGACTTCGAGAAAAAATATTTTCATTTATTACGTTTCATAATATCGGTGGCAGTGCAATCGGTACTTTTGTTAGATCCTTTAGTCTTGCAAAACCATAGATTTCGCTATTAATAATACACCGAAAACCCGGTTTAAATCTATTATTGTTATCACTCATTTAGTGCGTAGTAAATTTTTATAGCTAATTTACCTGTCATAACTTGATCAATAAAATTTGGTTTACGCAACAGCAAATAAAAATAATGACTTCTGTATTTAATACAGTAAAATGGCAATAGAAATTTGGCCTAAAATCACTTAACTTTAACAAGCTGTAACAGACGAACGGTTAATCGGATAAAAAAAATTATAATAACAAAATTTCTTTCAAATTTCAAATTTCTTAGTAAAATACTGGTCTATTGTTAATATAAGTTAATTATTACAAATCCTGTTGTTTTCATATTGAACAAATTTGTTATAAGTACATTTAATAGTCAAAGTCAGAGTCTTACAATTATTATTTGCTTCCAATTCGTTTTTAATTAGATCCAACAGATCATCAAATGATTTAAGTGACATTCGAAAATAATTGAAAAATTTTTCGTCATGATCCCTAAGTTTCGGGTATAAGGTAATATAATGACTTGAAGAAAATGTAGTTTTTAAAATTGGAAGGACCCAATATTTTTTTTCTTCTTTTTGTCTTCGTCTTCTCATTCTTCGATATACGCCCTCCTATTAGTATTGTTGTATGTCACTGTGTTATAAATATATATATATATGTCTATAAAACGGTACAATGATGTTATGGGAGATAGAGATGTGGGCACATGCAAATGTGATCGTATCATTTGTTATTCAAAAGCCACCTCTAGAATTAAAAATGGTAAATAATATAAAAATTTATCAAAAAATTATTTATAAATCCATAAATAGCAGTGGATTTTCAAAAAAAAAAATTAAATTATTAAATATGTGGCGGTCGAATATTCTAGAATGTTCGGCCGCCGCCGCCTCTAGAAGATTCGTCGTTCTACATAAGCGTGTGGCGGTCGAATGTCTAGAGAGTTCCGACGCCGCCTCTAGAAGATTCCTCTGACTATTTAACGGCAAGATCGTCGCTCCAGTCAGTCAGTCGATCAGTCAATCACTTACGCATTCTGTCTTAAACGCGCTTCGTCTCTCGCTGTTATTTGTTAGTTCGTTGTAATATAGTATAGTTGTTATTAAATCGTAAAAGTGTTTATTACTTCTATATATTACACCTCGCTACAAATATAACAAAATTGTTGATGTTTGAATACTATTTTTGTATATGTTATTAACTATATTTGTAAATACATTGTGATTTATTAAGTATATTACTCCATATTTTTCTGTTAAATAATGATTTTTTCATAAAATTATTTAAAATTACTTAAAATCTTTGTCAAAAATATTCCCAAAGTTATATCGCCAAGCTCTATCATTTAAAAAAACAATTTGAGAGTTGGATATCGTTTAGTAATTTTCTTGTATTGTCAAATTCTTCAATATTTTAATATATAATAAATATTAAAATACAATTGCACCATAAAATTCCTAAAATAATTTTATAAAAAAAATTTAACAAAATTTAGTGTCTGTGGAATGCCATTAAAATATGTTTTTGAAATACATATTTCATAACTAATAATAATAAATAAATAAAAACTATGAGTCAAATAAATTAAATAGCATATTTTTCCTAAAATAAAATAGATTCATGTATTTTCAATCAACCAATTATTTTTTATTTTATTCAACTCTGTTATATTTTACAGTTTAAAAACTAAAATTTCACATAGACTATTGAAATCCATCACCAAAAAATTCTTAAAATGGTATGTACTACTTCATAATATAAATTTTATGTAAAAATTAAATAATTTTTCTTTTTAGAAATCACTTACTATATGTGTGATTATATTAGTATTAGATGTTGATTTCTCATTTGCGCCTGGTAATAAAACTATATAAACTTATTTTTTTATAGCCATAGAATTTAGAATTACAATCACATATTTATAAGAATCAATAGAATAAAATAAATTACATCTATAATAAAGATCACCAAGGAAATAATTCTCTAGATTAACTATAGGTGCAGAATGGCCATTGTTATAAAAAGGGACAAGAGTTAACGTCTCGGAATAAGGTGCAGACAAAGTGCAAGACACAAACACACTTTAATGTATAGAATGAAAGTAGGTAAAAGTAAAGGAATGAACAAAGACTTGATATAGTAAGCCGGTTAGAGATAACCGAGTACTGAGACGTTTATAAATGACACAAAACATAAGACTACTGTAGTCGAATATTTATGATGATCTTTAGGTTTCAATAGTTTGAGATTGATTGCTAATTTCGCAATAAATATTTTTTATTGTCAATTCATCAGTCGCTAATAGTGAATACGTAGTCTGTGTGTTATTTTATAGTATATTTTGCTTATATTCTTTAATTAGTTGATTCTAGTTAAAATTATTAGATCATAACTTAATAATGAATGATAATATTTTATAGAGTGTACTGTTTGTACCGGAAATACAGAATTAAAGAAAACTAAGTGTGGTCACTATTATTGTACAATCTGTTTAAAGATATTTTCGCAATGTACGAAGTGTGGAAAGAACATCAAAAATGGTAATATTATTAATAATATTCAATATAAGATCTAAAATCACCAATAACATTTATAATTTATTTTTTATATTTCAATAAAACAATTTTTTTTTACTACTTTTTATAAAGCTCTTACAGTCTGTCTGATTGCTATAACTTGATACGTTTTATGATCTTTTTACGTATCGTTTTAATAATTTTAAACAAAATCGGTTCAGTAGTAACGAGTTTTATAGCATATATATAGACAATAAAAACGGTAGCAAAGTGAGGTTGTGGCTCAGTATGGACGTAGCATAGTTGGGACAAATATAGATGATAACTATACTAATTAATTACATGATATGAATTTTTTACCAAACTGGGTGTACATTAGGGTGCGCCTTATTTATAAAATTTAAAAATTTGAAAGCGGAAATTTAAATTTGTACTTACCTCGTATCCCACGTAACGTAATGCTTATTTTAGACAATCCAATGTTGATTATGAGTTCACACTGTATTTCACACATTGTACACTTTGAGTTCGACAGTAAATAAACTGTTTGAGAAAAAAGCGTTTAATTATAAATAATGCGAAACCGTTACACAAAATCTATGACTGTATTATTATATGCAGGAGATTCTATACACTCTATATTTTTATAATTATAATCAAATAATGTATCTTTAGTTGACTTTGTAGAATGAGTATATTGTTTGAGAGATTATATTTTATTGAGAGATCAACACCAATATTTTCTTCAATTTTCCTCTGGCCTGGCCAATACAAGATTCAGAAATATTTATATCTATGTAAAAGATTTGTCAAGGCGGAATTGTGGTGGCCCAATGTGTCCCGGGGCTAAAATAAAGCACCTTGAAAGGATGCGGCACAATAATCGCCAAGACAAAAATTAAACATTAAAACATATATTCGTAAGTTTCTCTGTGCTGTCTGCCGGCGCGATGTTCGTTAGAACAAAGACATTAAACCTTAAAAGATTAGCTACCCAATAAGTTTAGGATTGCAATACACTTAGTCATATAATAAATATTTATCATTAACTGAGAAAATTAGAGTTGATTCGGTTTTATTATATATTAAAAAAAATGTTTTGTTTTAAAATATTAATTGACATTTATTTCCATGATAAAAATAAAACATTATTATTTAATGAACAAATTAAATTAAATTAAAAGATTCACCAAAACAAAATTCACTTTAAAATCCCTAAGTGTCATTTAGTTTTAAAGAAAAATATTCTAAGTCCAAATAAATTAAAAAATCGACTAAGTCCCAGAGAGTAAGAATCTTGAATAAAGTGTCGCAGATTTTGTGTATCTTAAAATCGCCGAAAGAACTGATTTTAATAGGAAAAAATGGGTTTTTATAGTAGACGAGGGTCCTGTAGCGATCCCTAGTGTGATCTTAGAAACTGTAGATCTTAATTAATAGTTAAATGTGATTGGCTGTAGCTAATTAAAAACCCACACATAGGCGTGACTTTGAATCTGTACGATAATCAGATTTAATTGCCTAATTTATTGATTATTTTAAGTTTTAAATAAGGGAACCCTGTTTTGGTGATCTTGTGAATTCATAATATATGAATTGTACAAAAGATAACATAATATAATATTTTAATATTATAAGTAATAATATAATATTACAAAGACGTGCCCCAAGAGGGTTAAAATAACCCCCCAAGGGTGATTTTTTAGTTTTTTTTTTATCTATCTCAAAAAATTTAGATTTTGCAAAAAAGTTTATTTGGACTTTTTTGTAGGTATACAATTTTTCTATAAAAAGTATATATACAAAAATTTTCGAAAAGTTCTTATTTAACCCTAAAAAAATAAAAATGTATATGTTCTATTCTTACCGTTGAAATTGTTAATTTATAAATCGTTCATTGTAAAAACAAAAAAATTCATTTAACCGTTGTTTTAAATTTAATTTTCTTTACATTTTTTCTATTATTTACTATTCAAATCCTACAATTGTTTTAATTTTAATTAAAAAAAACACATCAGTGTAAAATTAATACCGTCTCAGTTTCACATTGAAGCTAAAATAATGTTAACTTACAAATTTATACAACCAGAAATTTTATAAACTTGTAATAAAAATACATAATGAACGAATATTATTTAATTCTTTGATTGACAATTCAAATTGGCCCCAAACAAAAAACATTTTCAAACAATAAATGGTCTTGGCTATCCAACGATCATGATGGATTGGGCCAGGAATTTTAAAATAAATTCTATGTAAAGGTGTTTCACCAAAAAATATTATATCAAATTCTAAAAGTCAATTCGAGGTTGGTATTTTTGTAATTGTTCAAAATTAAATTTTTAAATATCGTTTTTTTTTATTTTTAACTTTTCTAAAATAACAGTATCTTCTATTCCACTTAAGTAATTTATTTTATTTATATTTTGCCAAGACTTTTGGAATTTATTGAAAATAGGAACATTTGGTTCAGATGACGTATTAAATTTTACTTCAAAAACGCTTTTCAATATGATTTCATAAATGCGATGTNAAAAACGCTTTTCAATATGATTTCATAAATGCATGGTAAGTATAAAATATCACGCCCTAAAATTTGCATAAAATTTATTTTAAAATTCCTGGCCCAATCCATCATGCTCGTTAGATGGCCAAGGCCATTTATTGTTTGAAATTTTTTTTGTTTCGGGGCCAATTTGAATTGTCAATCAAAGAGTTAAATATTCGTTCATTATGTATTTTTATTACAAGTTTATATATTAAACAATGGTTTAGTGCACCAATTAGCGCATTAGCGCCAAATTTAGATGTACAATTTATTAAAAATATAATTAATTATGAACCAATAGATAAAGATATTTCTAAAGTAGTTTTAAAAAAAAATTTTTGGGTCACTTATGGTACTTAATATCCGAATCGGCAGCATTAGCATTTTTTGATGATGATTTATGTGAAGATACTAAAATTAAAATGGTAAACTCATTAAATAATCGGGAAGAAGATCCATGTACAAACAAACGTATAGTAATAGGAGTAAATGAAATTTATGATTTAAAAAATAAAAGTATAGATGATTTTATTTCAACTGAGTCAAAAAAAATGTTTGAAAGATATGACATTGAAACAGATTTTTTAAATATCAATCCTTTGTTGTGGAAAGACAACAGTCAATATATCAGAAGAAAAATAATAGTAAACATTTTAAAAGTTATAAATGATTTGGCAGAGAGGGGCGTCAAACTCATAGAAGAGTATAATAATATTTTAACAAAAGACGAAGCACAAAAACAGTACCTATTACAGATTGTTACAGAATACCGGCGTTGTTTTCCTAATTGCAATAAAAGCACATTATGCCAAGAATTTTAAAAAAGATAAATTATTTAAAATATGTAGTAAATTTTTTTAGTGCGTTTTTTTTTTTTTAATAGTTTCTAGTTGTATATAAATTTGTAAGTTAACATTATTTTAGCTTCAATGTGAAGCTGAGACGGTATTAATTTTACTCTGATGTGTTTGTTTTAAATTTAAAATTAAAAAAATTGTAAGTTTTGAATAGTAAATAATAGAAAAAATGCCGAATTAAAAATGTATAGAAAATTAAATTTAAAACAACGGTTAAATGAATTTTTTTGTTTTTACAATGAACGATTTATAAATTAACAATTTTGATGGTGAGAATAGAACATATACGTTTTTATTTTTTTAGGGCTAATTAAGAAATTTTCGAAAATTTTTGTATATATACTTTTTATAGAAAAATTGTATACCTACAAAAAATTCCCAATAAACATTTTCGCAAAAGCTAAAATTTTTGAGATAGACATAAAAAACTAAAACATCACCCTTGGGGGATTATTTTTAACCCTCTTGGGGCACGTCTTAGAGTTGACTAATCGTCTCCAAGTTTTGTACAATTTATTTTTTCATGTATTCGAATAACTCTAGGGGGTGGCACTTACAAATATTAAAAAAAGAACCTCTCATGTAGCTAAGGGTCACCCTAGTGTACATACTCTTCTTTTAATGTCTTTAATTAAATTAAATGTATTTTGAATAAATTTGAATTTATATAAAACTGCCTGAATACGAATTTGATTTTGATAAAAATCTATTTAGTATTAAATTGGCAATTAACTGACCATTGATGTAATTATTATCTTTAGTTAATTGATTCTAATTAAAAATTATATTAGATGATTAATTAATTATTTTATAATTTTTGATATTTGTTAAAAGAAAAATGTTTAAACTAAGTTTTAGGTATTCAGTGTTATTTTAATTAAGGTTTATATTTTTATATGATTATAGGAAAAGATGTATTAAGTTAGTATAATCTAAATAATTATTTCTTATAAAAACATATTAAATTCATAGATATTTCCTTATTTAAGTTAATATTTTATAGATTGTATTGTTTGTAAGAGCAATATAGAATTACACCAAGTATCGTGTTCTCATATATATTGTAAAACGTGTTTACCATATTTTACTCAATGTCAGGCGTGTGGAAAATATTTCACAATTGGTAATATTATTGATAATATTAAATATGAGATCTAAACTTAACTATAACATTTATTATTTATCTGTAAATTTAAATAGAACAAGATTATATATTTTCTTTTTAAAAGCTTTAAGAATAAGACACTTGGTCTAACGCACATATTTAGTGTAGTTTATTATTTTTCTTATGTTTTATAACAATAGGTAAAGCTATTATAATCCTCTAAGGAGGATTCATGGGCATTATCCTCTCTAATATGTTATATTCATCGCGTAATTTTTCAGATAAAGTGTACTTTTTGGATTTTTTTTATTCAAAAAACTTATTACTTATTATAAAATTTCTATAGGAATTACTTTCTTCTAAAAGTAAAAAGCTAACTAGTTAAGATAAAAATATTAGTATTTAAGTGGTTTATAATGACAAATGTTCGGTGTAATTTTAATTCAGGTTTATATTTTGTTTTGATACAGTAAAATATTTATGTAAGTGTAAATTAAATAATTATCTCTAATAAAAATGCATAAAATAAATCGTTATTGTCTTGTTATGTCTCTAAAACAAGAAATTAAAAATTATTTTTCAATAATTTCAAAAGTTATAATTTAGTAAACTGTTCAATTATAAAAAAATGTTATTATACTATAAATAATATAAATTTACTATTTAAAGACTGTTCAGAGTGTCTGGGGCTGAAAGATCTACTCAATAGTTCCGGTAAAATATATTGTAAGAGCTGTAAATCAAAAGGTAATACACATTGTATGAGGTGTTCAGTAATTAAGGAAACGGGTTTCTATTTTTCTCGTTGTTTGTAACAATTAACCTGTTTCCTTACATACTGAACACTCTGCTTAAATAAATTAGTTATAATAAAACATAATATTTATAAACTTGCATTAGTATTAACATTTTAGGTATATAATACATTAATATATTATATACTTATATTATAGGGTTAGTCAACAATATTGTTCTAGATGTCGATATCGTCAAATAATTTTTAGATTTTTGATTGTGATATCGAAATATATCGATATCGTGATAAAATGATTATTGAAAATGTTCGTTAGTTATTTAATAAAAATGTTAGAAACGCATTACTGGAATAATGTAGTCGACACTGGTTTTAAGGGTTACCCGTGGACCGTTTATTAATAAGCAACTTCTGGTATTTAAAAAACAGACAAACCGAATAGACGAATACAGTAAATAATAATCTTCATATAATATCGCGGCACTTTCTCTGGCGTCGGCGACGTGGTGTCCGATATGATCCTCAAGAGTCCAAAAATTAGCAGCGTTGAAGGAGAGACGGTGCGGATCGCCTGGTCAAGTGCGGTCGTGCTACCGGTGGCGAACATCCTCGACGTTGTTACCGTTGTCAAGGGAAGAAGACTCGGCGTATCATTTGTGGCGGGTCGTCGTTGGCCTTGCAACACTTTGCCCTGAGGCGTATGAAACGCGGTGCTGGTTAGTCATTTACTGAAAGTAGGATGATGGTTGATAAAGGCGACATGAGTGGCGGGGCACGGTGTATCACTAAGCGACGCGGGGTTGAGTCAATGTTTAAATATTGGAATGAAACATCATGTTGGAAAATAATCTTATAAAATAAAAATTAAATATAGAAAATATCATGATAATCACTAAATTTTGTATGGATATATAAATATTTTACCAAAAAATACGAAATAATAACAATATTCTATAGTCGATCACAATTGCATTATATTATAATAATATGCAAACATATTTATTCAATAACGAATCATTTTCCATGATTCTTATAATACAAAGTAAAATGGATAATCAGGGTTCAAACAAAAGTATTTATAAAGTATTTAATCGGTCCAGTGAAAGCTGAGAATTTCCATTGACACACATAAAAATAAAAAACACAGCACAGAAGGGTCNAAGTATTTATAAAGTATTTAATCGGTCCAGTGAAAGCTGAGAATTTCCATTGACACACATAAAAATAAAAAACACAGCACAGGGGGGTCGTGGGAAAGTGGTGATGTGGCATAGTTGGATCAAGTATAATGATATCTGACAGTGTTTAAAATTACTATCATAAAAAATTTCGACGCAAATCTTTAGATAGTGTTTAATTTGAAAAATTGGTAGATTATTTCAAAACTTACATCTCCAATTTCCTTACTTATATCCTGATTACAAGTTTTATGATTTATAAATGTAATACTTATAATATATAAATATATAAAAGGAAAGGTTATTTAAAAAAAAAAGTATGTCGAATGAAAGATATATATAAATATTATTTCTCATGAAAAAATTGTATTGATCCATACACTTTTCAAAAAGTTATAGAATTATAAAGTTAGAAATATAAAAAATAAAATCGAGAATTTTCAGACAATAATAGCATTCAGTAACCATTTTCACCACGAAGATAAAATAAAGTCCGAAAATTTTTTTTTCCATAATAAAGTTCATTACATTAGCTTCAATTTGAAATATATATAAAAGTGTCAGACTTTTTGGAACATTTTCAAAAGTTAAGTAGAAAAAGGTGTCATTTTAAATCCCCCTCTGTGGATAGGTAAAGGGTTAAATGTATAAAAAAAAATATACTAAATGATAGGTAAAGACATCAAGCATCTATAAAAAAAAAAATTATAATGATATGTTCATTTTTGAAAAAGTTATGGCAGTTTTTAGTAAAAAAAATTAAAAAAATAAGCGATTTTTAAATTTGTAATTTTTTTGAAAGTTTCCCCCCTTTATGGGGAATGAGGGAAATGTTTTCAATTTATGAAGGAAATGTGTTTGACTAGATACGATTTGTAATCTTTTGACGTATCGTTGAAAGAAATTGGTATGGTGAGAGCTGAGAAAAAGTGGTAACTGTCAAAAAAAAAACATGGTAAAACCAATACATTCTCATATTTATATCTAAACTAAAATTACATATAATATAGATTGCATAAATATATATATATTTTCAATAAATAAAAAAAATTAATTTAAAAATTAATTTAAAAACGTATAATAAATGTATAAATTATTTTATGTGTAAACCTAGCTTCTGTTCCATCAGTAACCGAAGCTTCGTCGTCTAATCAATGTAAGTATATACGTTGAATACTACTCGCAATTCTTTTGTTGAATAATGATTTTTTCATAAAAATACATACATATTAAAATACCTAAAATTAATTTAAAAACGTATAATAAATGTATAAATTATTTTATGTGTAAACCTAGCTTCTGTTCCATCACTGACCGAAGCTCCGTCGGCTAATCAATGTAAGTATATACGTTGAATACTACTCGCAATTCTTTTGTTGAATAATGTTTTTTTTAACCAACCAAACGTTCGTCTAATAAACGTTTTAGTTCTTCTCACCCTTGGCGGAATTCTTCCTGCACAATAGCAGTCAAAACCAAATCCTTTTATTTCCAAAAATATAGAGCGTCAGGTTCTCTTTATGACTTTATGTTGTATTAAAAATCGTCATTAAATACCACCAAAGTTTTGAAAAAAGCTAAGAAAGACTCATGCGTTAATATGTGTTCTAAGTTACATCCTTCCTCGTCTATCTCTGAATTTCGGGCCTTAGCTAAAAGTTAAAAAAATGTATAATCCGCCCCATATCAGCTACCAATAATGACTGGTTTGACAACTTTTGCGATAAAGTGGCACCACCATACGTTGCGAATCTTGATGAATCTAATTCATATTTCGCAACTCATGTGCCGCATAATAATACTAACTTCCTTTCATCCCCTTTCAGTCGTTATAAACTCTCCTTAGCTATTTCCTCTAGAAAATCCTCTGCAGCTGGCTTAGATAGTATTTCTCTTTTAATGCTCAAACACCTTCCAATTAAAGCATTTGATATACTCTTATCTATTTTAAATGATTTATGGCTTAATAATATCATCCCTGAATCCTGGAAAACCTTTAAAGTCATTCCTATTCCTAAAAGTGGTGCTTCAAGCCCTGCATACCGTCCTATTGCTCTTTCTTCTTCCTTATGCAAAATAACTGAGTTTATTTTAAAAACTCGCCTCGATTGGTTTCTTGAAGCCAATTCTCTATTACCAAAAAACATGTTTGGCTTTTGACGCGGTGTAGGCACTATGGAATGTTTATCTTCCTTAGTTGGGTCTGTTTATCATTTTCTTTGTAACCGCCTTTTTACTGCAGCTGCCTTTGTAGATATTCATGGTGCTTGTGATTCTGTTCATATACCTTTACTTATTTCTCGTCTTCTTTCCCTCAATATTCCTATTTTGATGTGTAAATTTATATTTTCTTTATTTTATTATCGTAATCTTCATTTTAATTAATTTTAACATTCTTCAAATTCCGAATATTTATCTTGATAATATTAGTTTATCCTACTATGATTGTGTCACTTACCTTGGCCTTAAGCTTGACCAAAAACTTCGTTGGATGCCACATTTTAAGTACCTGATTTTCACTTTATGACGTTGGTCAAACTTGTTACGTTCTATAGCAGGGACTTGGTGGGGATCCAACCCCTCTTCACTTCTTCTTGTATTTAAATCTCTTATACGTTCCAAAGTAGATTATGGTTCATTTTTATATTCCTCTGCCTCCACCGTGCACCGTAATAAGCTTAATTCCCTTATGACTTCTTGCTTACGTACTATCTTAGGCGCCGTTTACTCTACCCCAAATATAAGTTTAGAAGTGGAATGCGCTTGTCCCCCCATCGAAGTTCGTTCTCGACTCCTAGCTTGTAAATTTCTTACTAAACAGTTATCCTATTCTGCCAACTCGACATTTCATAATTTTCATTCTCTATGCACAGTTTGGCGCTATGTTCCCAAAACTCTTCCTTTACTTGCTTCAATCTCTTCGATTTCTACTCCGTACCTTAATATGATAATCACATCTTTAAATCGCTTGCCTATTTATGATGTCTCCTTCCTGGCTCTTATTTATTGCCCACCTATTCACTTTAACCATCACTTTTTTTCTTATTCAAAACTGCAATTACAATCTCTCCCTATTAATTTTGTTAATAATCTATTCAATGAGTTCTTATTCTCTAATTTCTCCAATTATCGTCTTATATTTACTGATGGTTCAGTAAGCTCTAAATCCGCTGGTTTCTCTTTCTTTATTCCTATTCTTAATATTAAATTCTCAGATATTCTCCCTTCACAATCTTGTTTTTTTACTACTGAGTGTTATGCCATTTCTTCGGCCCTTGAGCTTATTCAATCCTTCAATATTTCTAATGTTTTAATATTACTGACTCTTTATCAGTCCTTTCTTCTCTCTCTTCTAATTCATTCAAAAAATGCAGATCTTTCCTTATTATTAAAATAAAAGCATTAATTTATAATCTTTTCTTAGCTAATACAAAAATCAATTTTTATGGTGTCCTAGTCATGTGGGTATTTTTGGTAATGAGGAGGCTGACCATTTAGCCAAACTTACCAAATTCACCCGTCGTCCTACCCTCAATATTCCTTCATCTGACATCGTTTCACCCTTTAATAAGACGATATTTCTAGCATAGCAAGAATATTGGTCTTCTCCTCANTACCAAATTCACCCGTCGTCCTACCCTCAATATTCCTTCATCTGACTTCGTTTCACCCTTTAATAAGACGATATTTCTAGCATAGCAAGAATATTGGTCTTCTCCTCTCTCTCTCATCGCAGCTTGGCACAAATCAATATCACCAACTATTCCAAATCATCTTTGGTTCCATAAACTTCCTCACTACCGATTCCAAATATTATCCTTTTCTCGACTAAGACTTGGTCATAATCGCCTTCCTTTTCATTCGTAAAAAATATCCCTTAACAATTCTCCTTTCTGCCCCAAACATGTCGATGAAGTTCTCTGCGACTTTCCTCATATAATTTTTGACTGCTGTGCATTTGAAAGTAATCGTTCTATTTTATTTAATAATGTATCTCATCTTAATAGCTCTCCTATTAATTGTTACACTATCCTTAACTCAACTTCTCTCGAAGTAATTTCTTTAGTTATTTCTTTCATTCATTCAGCTGGTTTTTTTATTTATCGATTTTTACTGTAATTTTATTGATGTAAGGTCAATTGTACTATTTTTTTAATTATTATTATTTCTTTTTTATTTTCTCATTTTATTTAATTGTTAAGCTATAATAATACTTTGTATTGAAAGATAATAAAAAAAAATATTTTTTTCTTAAAAATACATATATATTAAAATAAAAAAAAATATTTAAAATTAATTTAAAAACGTATAATAATTGTATAAATTATTTTATGTGTAAACCTAGCTTCTGTTCCATCAGTGACCGAAGCTCCGTCGTCTAATCAATGTAAGTATATACGTTGAATACTACTCGCAATTCTATGGTTAAATAAATAATTTTTTCATAAAAATATACATATTAAAATAAAAAAAGTACCTAAAATTAATTTAAAAACTTATAATAAATGTATAAATTATTTTATGTGTAAACCTAGCTTCTGTTCCATCAGTAATCGAAGCTCCGTCGTCTAATCAATGTAAGTAAATACGTTGAATACTACTCCCAATTCTTTTGTTGAATAATGATTTTTTCATAAAAATACATACATATTAAAATTAAAAAAAATATCTAAAATTAATTTAAAAACGTATAATAAATGTATAAATTATTATATATGTAAAATTCTTTTGTTAAATAATCATTTATTAGCTTCGGTGCGAAACGGAGAAGATATTAATTTTACTATGATGTCTTTTTTTTTTTTATATATATCTGTTGNGATATTAATAAGGAACCAGCAGATCAAGTAGCTTTTGGAATAAAACACCAATTTTTTTAAAATTAAACACTATCTAAAGATTTGCATCGAAGCGTTTATTTTTGATAGTGATTTTAATCACTGTCAGATATCATTTACTTGATCCAACTATGCCACGTCACCACTGTGCCGCGACCCCCCTGTGCTGGGTTTTTTTTTTTTAAACTTCCATAACTTTTTGAAAAATCAACAAATCAACATAATTTTTTTTATTCTAAAACCTTAGATATTTTCCTTTCATTTGATATCATTTTTTTGAAAATCTAACACTTAACCTGCTCATTGGGGAAGATTCAAAATAGCAACTTTTTTACAAAAACTAACTTTTTCAACTTAATTTTTGAAAATGTTCCGGAAATACTGCGTCCTTTAAACATATATCAAATTAAAGCTTATTATATGTGCTACAAAATGAAAAAAAAAATTTGTCCCGACACTTTATCTTCTGCATTAAGCGATTTTTAAATTTGTAATTTTTTTGAAAGTTTCCCCCATTTATGGGGAATGAGGGAAATGTTTTCAATTTATAAAGGTAATGTGTTTGACTAGATACGATTTGTAATCTTTTGACGTATCGTTGAAAGAAATTGGTAAGGTGAGAGCTGAGAAAAAGTGTTAACAGGCACATAAAGAAAAAAAGCATACTATAGAAAAATTAATACTTTCTCAACTTGGCATGGAAACTAATAATTAAATATTATTAATAATATTACCATTTTTGATGTTCTTTCCACACTTCGTACATTGCGAAAATATCTTTAAACAGAATGTACAATAATAGTGACCACACTTAGTTTTCCTTAATTCTGTATTTCCGGTACAAACAGTACACTTTATAAAATATTATCATTCATTATTAAGTTATGATCTAATAATTTTAACTAGAATCAACTAATTAAAGAATATAAGCAAAATATACTATAAAATAACACACAGACTACGTATTCACTATTAGCGACTGATGAATTGACAATAAAAAATATTTATTGCGAAATTAGCAATCAATCTCAAACTATTGAAACCTAAAGATCATCGTAAATATTCGACTACAGTAGCCTTATGCTTTGTGTCATTCGTCTGTCTTAGTACTCGTTTATCGCTATCCGTTTTACTGTATCAAGTCAAGTCTTTGTTCGTTCCTATACAATAACCGACCTTCATCCTCTATATTTAAGAGTGTTTCTGTTATGCACTTCGTCTGCACCTCATAATTAGGCGTTACCAATAGTCCCATCTTATAATAATGGCTTATCAGTACTTATAGTTATTCCGAAGTGTCATCCGAGAATGGGAAAAATGCTGTAATATCATACGTACGTGAATATTTACATAGATACAACCTCATCTTAATATACAATCCTCATTCTCACTTTCCTTTGTATTCAAGGTAAATATTACATGATAAATATATTGTGTGAGATATACATCATTAAAAAACTTTCAATAGTGATTTTTACTATAAGATCATTCTATGTAAAATGACCTAACGTGTGTGCTGCTATTGTTCAGAAATGTTTGACATTTTTATCATAAACTTCTTAAAGGTCATTGACAACAAAAATATTTTTTTTTTTAAATTGTTTTTTTACCAGATAATTAAAAACACCTTATGTTCTAAAGCCAATAACTTCACATCCAAAAAGCTATCACTGTGGAACTAACACTGTTTTACTCATATTAAATAGTACTTCAATTTCATTCTTAAGTTTATTAATTTTGAATTTTTTTAACATATTATAGTAGTCACAACAATAAAAGTACACATTAACTTGACAACTTGGTGACACACAATTGTAATTTTATATGGACAATCCTGTCACATTTAAAAATACATAACCAGTTTTAAATGCTTTTTAATATTGTCATATTCATGAAGAAATTGATACAAAAGTCACTATGATGTAATATGATAAAATGAAAACCGTATGTATAATAAAGACTACGGCTTAATTGACAGTTTCGTACTTGCATTATTATTAAACAAAATAATAATTTTAAAAATAGTTGCTAACAAAAAATAAAAATTAAATGTTGAAAATTACGTGATCTGTGGATTTTCTTTAATACGCAAATTGTAAATTTTGTAAGTTCTATAAGTTACGTTAAAATTATGTCTCCATTATCAAATTTTCTCCAGATATTTAATTGCCTAAAGGATAAATGTGGCTATTTTTAGCACCATACACTATTCAAGACCGTAAAATGATACAAAAACATTTATAAATCGATTTAAATATGATATGGGTTAAAAGAACATAACTAAAAGTTTCTGAAAGAAAAAAAAAATTTATTAAAATATTTTTTGCTGTCAAAATACTGCAAAATTTTGATGTTAAAAAAATTTTAAATTCATAAACTTCAGAATGAAATTGAAGTACTATTTAATATAAATAAAACAGTGCTAGTTCCACAGTGATAACTTATTTGGATGTGAAGTTATAGGCTCTAGAACATAAGGTGTTTTTTCATGTTTTTAATAATTAAATATGCGCTATCTTGTAAAAAAACAATAAAAAAAAAAATTATTTTGTTGTCAATGACCTTTAAAAAGTTTACGATAAAAATGTCAAAAATTTCTGAACTATAGCATCATACACGTTAGGTGATTTCACATGGAATGACCCTATAGATGTAATTTATTTTATTATATTATATTATTTAATTCTTTTATAATTTAGTTAGTTTAATATATGAATAAATATTTATTGGGATTTAGTATTGTAATTTTTTCGGAGTATTCGTAAAGTAATTATTACTTTTATGGCGAACGTGTATAAAAACCCAGCACAGGGGGGTCGTGGCACAGTGGTGACGTGGTATAGATGGATCAAGTATAATGATATCTGACAGTGATTAAAATCACTATAAAAAATAAACGCTTCGATGCAAATCTTTAGATAGTGTTTAATTTTAAAAAATTGGTGGATTATTTCAAAAGCTTCATGACCTGCTAGTTCCTTATTAATATCCTGATTAAGATAAAGTATGTCGAATGAAATGGGATTATTAAAAAATAGAATTTCCCATAAAAAAATTATATTGATCAATACACTTTTCAATAAGTTATAGCATTATAAAGTTAAAAATGTAAAAAATAAAATTGAGAATTTTCACACAATAATAGCATTTGGTAACCATTTTCATCGTGAAGACAAAATAAAGTCCAAAATTCTAATTTATTTTATAAAGTATATTATATAATATTTAATTTAAGATATATATAATAGTATCAGTATTTCCGGAACGCTTTCCAAAATTAAGTTGAGAAAGTTCTACTTTCTATATGCATTGGTAAGTTTTGAATCCCCTTGTATTAAGGCAAATGGTCCAATTTAAAAAAATAGTATGTCGAATGAAAGTTCTATATAAATACTACTTCTCATAAAAAATTGTAATGATTCATTCATTTTTCAAAAAGTTATAGCATAATAAAGTTAAAAATGGAAAATACAAAATCGAAAATTTTCACACAAAAATAGCATTCGGTAGCCATTTTCACCATGAAGATAAGATAAAGTCCGAAATTTTTTTTTTTCATGATAAAGCATATTACATTAGCTTTAATTTAAGATATATATAAAAGTGTCAGACCTTCCGGAACACTTTCAAAATTTAAGTTGAAAAAGTCAATTTTTTGTGAAAAAGTTGTCATTTTGAATCCCCCCCTGTAGGCAGGTAAAAAGTCAGATTTATAAAAAAAATATACCAAATGATAGGTAAAGACATCATGCATCTACAAAAAAAAGAATTATATTGATCCATACATCTTTCGAGAAGTTATAGCATTATAAAGTTAAAAATATAAAAAAGAATTTTTTTACAAAAATCGTATTTTTTTTATTAAGTTTAATGTCTGTTTTCACCATGAAGATAAAATAAAGTCCGAAATTTTTTTTTACCATTATAAAGTATATTACATTAGCTTTAATTTAAGATATATATAAAAGTGTCAGACCTTCCGGAACACTTTCAAAAGTTACGTTGAAAAAGTTCTACTTTCTATATGCATTTTTATGTTTTGAATCCCCCCTGTATTTAGGGAAATGGTCCGATTTAAAAAAACAGTATGTCGAATGAAAGATCTATATAAATACTACTTCTCATAAAAAAATTGTAATGATTCATTCATTTTTCAAAAAGTTATAGCATAATAAAGTTAAAAATGGAAAATACAAAATCGAAAATTTTCACACAAAAATAGCATTCGGTAGCCATTTTCACCATGAAGATAAGATAAAGTCTGAAAATTTTTTTTTTCATAATAAAGCATATTACATTAACTTTAATTTAAGATATATATAAAAGTGTCAGACCTTCCGAAACATTTTCAAAATTCAAGTTAAAAAAATTAATTTTTTGTAAAAAAGTTGTCATTTTAAATCCCCCCTTGTGGGCAGGTTAAGGGTTACATTTATAAAAAAAATATACCAAATGAAAGGTAATGATATTAAGCATCTATATACAAAAGAATTATATTGATATGTTCATTTTTAAAAAAGTTATGGCACTTTTAAATAAAAAAAATTGAAAAAATATCTAAAATTAGCGATTTTTAAATTTGTAATTTTTT